AATTTCTCAAATAATTTTAGTTTGCTTATTCCTCCGATTAATTACTAGATTTAATATTACTTTAACAAAATCTGTTTTTTTTTTAATTTAGAGGACCCAGTTCAGATCAGCTCAAAACGTCTTGTTTGAGAGGACTTCTCGGGGATCAGCTATGACCTGGTCTACGGAAAGCGGGCTTAGGTGTCAAAAAATCCAAAAAATCAATTTTCACTTTTTAGTTTATTCGGATGGAAGATGAGATTTTTAACAGCTGTTTCCCAGAAAACTAGTTTTCGCACGTTAGCTCCCTTTTCGTAGACCAGGTCACAGCTGTAGTTCCTTTCAAAAATAATGTTTTTAACTTTTTTTAATTTCACAGGAGAGATATAGTGATCACCGCAAAACATCTTTTTTTTGGAGGTGCTCCTGGAGATCTGCTGTAGTTCGTTTCCAAATACTTATATATGATAAAAACAGGAATATGTGTACAAATTTTTTGATCAATAAATTTAAAAGTTTTATCAAAAAAAAAAAAAAAATATTGGAAAATTGGTTTTTTCGGCCATTTAACCGCAGTTCTAACTGTATATAAATCCATTAAGTTAATCTTATTTCATTATCATATATTAAAATATGTATATATATATATGAATCGCTTTATAATCACCTCCGTTTGCACCATTGCCGGACGTTGGGCGCGTAGTATGCGCACCGTTTGGAATACATCCAATACGCCCTCATATTGCATACGTTCCAATACAATACTGAGTGTTATGAAGACACCAGTGCGTCCAACGCCAGCGCTACAATGCACCGTAATCGGTCCGTCTTGACCAAATTGTTCTTTCGTCTTATGCACTTGACCGATAAAATCGATAAAACCTTCACCAGACTTGGGTACACCTTGTTCTGGCCAATCGATGAACTGAAATTGGCGTACGGTACGTGAAGAGCCGTCACGTGCGTCGGTGACCTGATGGAAGGGAAATAAAAGTTGTATTAAGATTTTAAAAACCAGTTTAAGAAAGGTTTTATGTGTACGAATATTTCAAATTTCCACCATAACTTATAATTTGTATACCTTAAACTCGCGTAGCTTGTATTGCGGCATATTATATTCAGCGATGGGGTCCACCACATAGTATTGATAGCGTACTGAGCGTTCATGTGGCCAATATTGGTAGCATTTTTCCTATAAAATAACGATATACATTTAATTTTTGTAACATAACCTCAAAAATAATCTTTTAAATTTGCACTTACTCTGCCCATCTCTTTAAGTTTGGTAAGCATAACAACAATTGTTGAGTTGTGCTCCCACAGCATACGCCAGAAATCTTCAGCAGTATCCTGTACGGGACCCTGAGCGGCTATATAAGCCGAACGATAGCGATAGCCATCAATAAAGCTAGCATTGATGTAGTCACTACCCTCGATACCATGTATGGGTGTCAGGTAGACGCGACTCGATTCATATGGTAGTATGTGTACCAAACGATTCTTATTCTTATTACATGGCAAATTAGCGGTGACGAATTTCGATGAGTCCACCTTAACATTGGAGAGCTTTTTAAATTCCATTTCCATGCCAGTGATATTTTCACCCGGTTCGGTCAGTAGTAATTTTTGTAGGTGGGTATGTAAATTGCGTGCTGGTACCTCTGTTTGACCGCAAATGATAGCCTCCAATATGGCATCATGTATGAATATGTACTGATCCTCAGTTTGTACCATGTAGTTACGTTGAGCGCGCAAACAAGTCACATGTCCGTATATGTCAATAATTTTCTCATGTTTCATGCGTTCCAACATCGAATCGATAACTATATAACAACCAGTACGTCCAACACCAGCCGAGCAGTGGACAACAACTGGACCCGAATCGGGTGGGGTGAGTGCACGGCAGCGACGTAAGAATTGTAGGAATGGTGCTGGATGTTCGGGTACGCCATGATCCGGCCAAGCGGTGAATTGTAATTGTTTGATCTCACGACGTTCGTTAAAACCTTGACGACACAACTGGAATGTGCGTATGCTGTAGGTGGCGAGCTCTTGCGTTTCGGTGATCGTGACAAACATTTGACCATAAGTCTCCGTACCACGTACCGGCCAGTATTGATCGCACTTAATGCGTGTACGCTCCTCCAGACGTGTCATCATAACAATGGTGGTTGTCTTTAGTTCCCAACACATGCGCCAAAAGTCACTGAAAGTCTCCTGCAGTGGTCCCTGAGTTGCCACATAAGCATTGTGCTTGCGATAACCATCACAATAGTTAGCATTTATATAATCCGAGCCGATAACGCCGTCCATAAGAGGCAATTGTACGCGCGAGTGATCGTAAGCGGTTACATTGGCATAACGGTTCTTCGATTTATTGTAATCGTAATTAGAATTGTCCCATGTGAATTGCTGACCCGGCTCAATGCTCTCATATTCTTGTGAGAATTTTTGATTGTCGTTCGCTTTGAGGCGCTCAATGTGATTGGCGAATTCGGAAATGGGTATGGGCGGATGCGAAATCATGCCGGGTGTTTGGAAGTTCAAGCGGCGCATATCGACGGGATCACTGGGTGTGGGACCGGCACCGAGATCGGCTGCCATCAATGGACGCGTGACAGCAGCTTGATCGGGTGTTTTGCATGGTTGGCGACGCCGACGCACAATGCACCAGGTAACGAATATGGTGAAAATGAGTGCGGCAACAACTGGTAGCGCCACCCACCACATACCCTGCTCGTCTTTGTTGCGATTGACAGACACCTCCGGTTCGGATGGCCAATTTGGATCTGGACGATGTGGTCTTTCACCAGGTGGCGCTTCACGCATATCCAACGATAGAAATTCCGAGAAAGGACTGGAAGTATAAAGATGCTTTTGTGGCGTATCGACAACGGCACGCACAAAAATACGATAACGCTTGTCGCGCTCAAGTTTACGATTGGTGAAGTTATGATAATCGTCACCGGAACCCAGGTGGAAAGTGAAGGGTATGGAGCGTTGTGGGAACTTGGCGGCTATATAAGGCCAGTTCGGACGTTCAGGTTTATTACGTCCCGGCAGCAAATCTTCTGTTAGGAACTGATCTGGATTCTTGTGCAAGTTCGATTTATCCTCAGGAACCACAACAAGGTAATAATGTGATATTGGACCATACTCTTCGGATGCTTGCGGCAGTATCACTAATATTTCCTCACCATTTACCACTCCATAGAAATCTGGTTTGACCATGGGTTGCGGCGCGGCCATTTGTGTCGTAACGGTGATTTTAGTTGGCGGGCGGTAGGAGTAGTCTGGTGGTATGGCGCTTACATTTACATTATACGTTGTGAATGGACTCAGCTCGTTGATTGTATGCGATTTCACATAATGTTTTAAGATAATCTCACGTTTTTGTACAATCTGCGTTTGTGTAAAACCCTGTGAGTCGACAAATACTTTCATCGCGTCAAAGGAGATTTTGTAATTTGTCGGATTTAGACGTATTGGCGGAGACCAACTCAATGTCATGGAATGTGTGCTGACATCATGCGCGCGTAAGTTCAGTGGCACATCTTCGGGCTTTATTTTAACGGTGACCTTTTCGCTCAGACGTCCTAAACCGCTCTTGAAACGTGCCGCTATCGCTACGGCATACTGTGCAAACTTCTCCAGATTAACTAGATCTGCGGAATCTGTAAGGCCCACTGTCTTTGTCTGCCATTCATCTAAGTCCTCAACTGCTGTCATTGTATAGAAAATCTTGTAGCCAAGCAATTTTCCACGTGATGGTACCGCTTCCCACCAGATTTCAGCCGTTTGCTCGGATGTTGCTACCGCCTGCACTGACATCGGCGCACGTCCCATATCGCGTTCGGTTTCAATAAAGATTTTATCACTAAATGGTCCCGAACCTTGTTTGGTGTAAGCACGCACGCGGAAGATGTATTCCGTATTCTCTTCGAGATTTGTAAACACCGCCTTACGCACGGTCATATTACGTTCCGAACCTAAACCATGATCGATTTTCTTGTGAAACTGCACATCGTAACGTGTAATAATGCCATTGCGGTGTTCGCGTGTTGGCGGATCCCATGTGACGCATACTACATCCGGCGTCTGGAAGCGTACTGTTATATTTGCGGGCGGTCCGCCAGGTGTGCCCTCGGGTGTTTGGAAGATTTTCACTGTCTCTTGACCGATACCAATGTGATTACTACCCGCCACGCGGAATTCATATTCAACGCCGCGTTCTAAGTCATTAAAGCGACGTTTCGTTATTTGCGGTCCGGGTAGTATCTCTTCCTTTAATGGCTGATCTTTTACGCCCCAACGCAAACGATAACCACGCAGTTCACCATACGTTTGCGCTGGTCGCTCCCATTCTAGTTCGATGGAAACAATTGGATCACGTTCCATTATCTTTAAGCTGACGGTAGGTCGTACCGGCACACCGCCTGGCGTTTTTACGATCACCGCGGCGCTGCGATCACCATCGCCTTTCCGCGTCAGCGCCGCAACTTGTATGGAGTATTTGGTATCCGGTTGCAAGCCCGTCACATTGTACTCTAACGAATCGACGACATCGAACTTGAGTGGTTCGTTTAGGAAGCCATTGCCCTAGGTGAGGTGTAAGGTATCGTTAGAAATAATTATTATTATAAATGAACTATTGAACGGAAATAATTAAATAAACTTCGAAAAATAGTTTGGGAATGATGGAAGCTTTTGATTAGTTATTACAAGTTATCATACAATATTTTATGAAGGAAAACCTCAAAATATGCATATGTAACTAAGTATATTTAAAATAGTGGGTATGATATTTTAAGATAGTTTACCAAACAAAATATATTCCAACTTTCGCTCAATTTATCTCAACATTCTCGATGGCTATTACTTATGCGAAATCTAATATAGCATCATCTGAATTTATGTAGCTCTGATAAGCTTTATTATAGAAATTATTCAACAAAAATATAGCCTAGAGCGCTATATTCTCTGCTTTTGCCTAACTGACTTTTTTTCTGAGTTATAAACCAAATTGCTGTAAGCATCTGTGGCCCTCTCGATTTAGTATGCAAATAATATTCTTCATTGCAAGACAAGATTGATGATCAATAAGATATTGCTACGTGTTTGGTGGGATTGTCAGGCAATTATCATCCATAAGCAGCGCCTTTACAGCCAATCCCTGAATTCCGACCTGATCTTTTAACATCCATCACCTATATCCTCTGAAGCCAAGAATGACCAATAAGATATTGTTCTTTGATTGGATTTTCAGGGAATAGTCATCCATAGGTTAATCCTTTCTAGAGAATCCCTAAATTTGGACCTGTCACGTTATAGCCCGGGGATATCACACCATTCGAATTTTTCCTGTGGGGCTATGTAAAGTTTAAAGTCTATGCGGATAATTCCGCTTCGATTGGACTTGGACTCAACGGATGAATTATCTGAGATGTAACCGAGGATAACTTTTAAAAAAGATAAACTTCAAAATAAATGCCAAAAAATGTTCTTTAGAATGATAATAAATGTTCCCTTATAAATTTGAAGTTTCTGTGTTTTTTCTTTAAAAAAGTAGAGAACCTCGAAATGGATCAAACTTTATAATACTTCACTTACCTCATCACGCATTTCTTGTACGTGTATATGATAGCCACGTATAATACCGTTACGATCTTTTTCCAATGGTGGTTTCCAGGTAACATGAATTGAAGTTGAATTTAGCGGAGTTGCCTTCACGTCTTGAGGATCTCCAGGCACTAAACGTTGTATGGCGGAAAATATTTTGTATTAATAAAATTATATTATAGAAATTCAAAGGTCATAATATCGAGTACGAGTATTACTAGCGATTTAATGCTTAAGTAGTGAGCGAGTTAAATACCTAAAAAACTGGTAAATACAATACATACATACATATTAGCTTACATGATAGCTTAAAGCTTATTGAAAGCGTTGAATAATTAGTTAAATATAACATGAGTTAGAGATATCCAAATACTTTGTGGAGAATGATACTTACTTAGCTTAAATAAATCAATACACACAACTAATACATACGTAAAATGAGTACATAATTGGCAATATATAGGTTTCAAGATATGTTAACAAATTTTATATTTTTATGGAGTTAAAACACTTAGAATGTTTAAAAAAAATATATTTTTTTAATTTTTAATTAATTT